TGTGTGTGTGTGTGTGTGACCGACTGCTGGCTAAATTACAGAGTGTGATGTGCTCTGTGCTCTCTGATAGTGCTGGATGTAATGGCCCCTGTGGTTGCTGAACATTACAAGCTGAGGTAGCTCCATCATCCGCTGTGTACAGTCCTTAAACCCCCCCTGAGCCCAGCTTGGTGTTTCTGCATATACAATAACCACATCTACTGCTGGACCACTCTTACTTCACACCACACCTTTCGCACACACTGAGTTCTATCTACTCATTCAACATCCAGCTTGTCATATATCAGATTCATACTCTCCTGACACGTATTTGCTGGCGTCGTCAAATCCCACAGCCCGATCATTATCCCGACCGTTCCTATTCAACCCCCACCGCTTTTCCCACTCTGCCCCTTCCCCTCCACTCGCAGAACCTGCAGCCCCTTGCCGAAGAAGCTGGTGGACCCCATTGATGAATGACATCATCAGTGTGTGACATGAGTTATAGAGCCAGGTCACAAGGTTGCAGTGGCTTGCAAACCTATCCCATGCTAATGACTCACAGGAAATCACTGGCCATTGGCTGTTTACCCCGGTGCCATGGAAACACAAAGGATTTCCTGACTGACTCATCTGGTGTGATTTAGCCCCTGCCCATCTTTGTCACTTGGATAGGGTTATTAGGTAATTGCATATATATATTTATATATATATATATATATACAATTGTTATTGTTTATTTGTTCTAAAGTTAGTTGCTAAATAGACATAATTCTACTTAATATGATTTTCCTCTGTAATTCTTTTATGTGTTGGGAGCATTTGATGGGCTTTATTGTGAGTTTGTGTGTAGTTTTACAGCAATATTGTATCCCGGTATTTCCTTTCATATATGCCTTCTTTGCATTGATTGGAATCTTATTTGTTTTTAATCAAAGTGACTGGAGGATGATAATAATATTTACTGTCAGAAATGAACGCAATCAAATATAGGAATGACATTTTAATATGGAATTCTGCATTGAGTTGGGGTAAGATTGGCACATTTTAAATATCAAGTTGCCGTTGTTAATAATGTTACAACTGGCTTCTTTGACAAATGACAATGAGATTGAATGCATATCGGCATTACTGGGAGATCAAACAGATATGACAAATAATTCCAGTTGGGAGTTTTTGAATCCATCGTGAGTGTTTACGATGCACAGAGGAATA